ACCCGCGGGTCACGCGGGGGAGGCACGTCGGGGAGTGCTGGGACGGGAGACATGCGAACGCCCATGGGAAGGGGTTGCTGACAATCAAACGCAAGCAAATCAGACCGCTTGGCACCTTGGCATGTCTACTCCGACTGAATCTCGCACCCTTTCGATGGGACGGCCATGACCTCTTCGTTGTCGAAGCATGACTTCACTCTGACTAGGTACGTGACTATATGAGTTGACACCACCCACCCTGTCGATCTCCTCCGCGACATGGAGGAATCCGGTACAGTAGAGGCACCCCTACCCCCTCACCTTCCACTGGGCAAAGAACGCATCCTCTCACTTTGAACCTCGTGGCTTTATCAGGACGGGATGGTAGAGAGACTGCAACCCAACCCCCCGCCTCTCTCCCCAGCACGAGTCAGTCTCCTTGTGCTTCACCTCCCCGTCCAGCAGCCGGCCGACACTCAAAGCATCTTCCCTGTCAAGCTACTCCCCCACGAGTGAAGAGCAGCGATGAACCTCGAGATAGACCAACAACCCGGCTTCCCTGACCTCTCCTTGGCAAGCTTCGACGAGCATGCTGATAGAGCAGATGCTTCATCTTTCCGGGACGTGTCCAGGAGGGTCCAAGCAGAGATCAAGTATCAAGATAGAGCGAGCCACTCCAAAGCGATCCTTCCGCTATCCGAGCAAGGCCGACGGGAGCTTTACGGCTGCCCGTCAAGAAGCAAACAACTGGAGGCGCTTGTGCATTCAATCAGATTGATTGAAGACAAAGACCGACCTGAGGTCATCTCAGCGACTGGCGAAGGCCTAGTCTTGTAGACTCGAAAGACACTCATGTAGATTAGAACAAACATTAACGCAATAAAAACGTATAATCGTGGAGATGCTCGAAGCGATATCCTGCCCGGCCAGTTTCTGGCAGAGAGCAGCTCTACACGTAGTCTACACTGCTAGTCTACATCGAGAGAGACACAATGACAGGCTCTCAAGCAAAAGTCTCTCTCATCAACTCTCAACATGTGATGATGCTTGACGATCTATCACATGATGATTGCAACACATACATACAGATCCAACCATACACGCCTTGGAGTGCAATCCTGTCATGCGAAGGAGGTAGGCGAGACCTCATCTCGCTCAGCAAGCTCCAGCACCAACAGCATGCAAGCACCTCCTACCCAACACCACGATGCACCCATGACAGTGGGTGTTATGATGCAAGATTCGCCCCCCTCCTCCTGTCCTGATCCCCATCTTCCAGCACCTACAAGCCTCCTCGCCAGTGCCGACTCCCTCGTCTCATCTCTTATCTGCTTCTTCTTCCGACTCTCCGCTCCCCGCTCTTGCTCCTCTCTTCTCTTGCTCCTCCTCTCTTCCTCCCCTTCCCCCGCTGACTCCGCCAGGACGCGCGAGGCGACTGAGGTCATGTGGTGCGGTTTATTACTCTACATGGCTGCCTAGTGTACATGGCGACGCCTGCCTAGACGACGCCGACGCGCCTGACCCTGAAGGTCTGGTTGAAGTGCGGCTGCTGCAGCCTCCGCCTGTCGAAGCCGCCATGGCTCCTCGCCCGCTCGGCGTCCGGGCGGGGGGCCGACGGGAGCCGGAGACAAGAGCCCAGAGCGTCGGGGGAGTCGATGCCGTCGTCTTGCAGGAGCCAGGCGACCCCCTGCGCGAGAGCGCCGGCCAGCCCCGCCAGCATGCCCACCGCCAGCACAAGGTAGACGCGAAGCAGCGGGGCCGTCTGGGGCGGGAGGGGAGGGACGAGGGGGACGAGGGAGGCTTGCCAGTCGTGGGAGGAGGAGGACATGACGGGGCGAGGGCTCAGGAGAGGGCGGGGGGTACTGGGAGGAGGACGAGAGGGGAGGGGGGCAGGCGCGGAGGATGGAGCGGGAGGCGGAGCGAAGGCTCTTGTAAGGGGCAACGAGGTCACCCGCGGGTCACGCGGGGGAGGCACGTCGGGGAGTGCTAGGACGGGAGACATGCGAACGCACATGGGAAGGGGTTGCTGACTAGGTCACGCTGTCGTCTTGACGATCAATCGCATCGAGTCGAAGAGCTCGATGACCGGGGAGGTCACGGATGCAAGAAAATCAGACCGCTTGGCACCTTGGCATGTCTACTCCGACTGAATCTCGCACCGTATCGATGGGACGGCCATGACCTCTTCGTTGTCGAAGCATGACTTCACTCGACTAGGTACGTGACTATATGAGTTGACACCACCCACCCTGTCGATCTCCTCCGCGACATGGAGGAATCCGGTACAGTAGAGGCACCCCTACCCCCTCACCTTCCACTGGGCAAAGAACGCATCCTCTCACTTTGAACCTCGTGGCTTTATCAGGACGGGATGAGAAGAGAGACTGCAACCCAACCCCCCGCCTCGCTCCCCAGCACGAGTCAGTCTCCTTGTGCTTCA